CATCCTCATCCCCTTCCCAGGACTCCATCTCCCTCCTTGACCATCCTTGGTTTCTCCTTTGGCCCAACACGAGGCCATCAGCTCATGGAAAGGATCTACAACTTCAGATACTCTGTGAGTCACAGGTTAACATGAACGTGTTCCTGGATTTTGGAAGAGCTGTCGTTTGGCAGACCATGCATCAGATGTCCTGACTCGTTCCCCAGGATGAGCTCTGTCCATGCCCCACACTCTTGGACTCTATACATTTCCGGAGCCTCCTACCCTCTCTCCCTCCATGACTAACACTCCATCCACTGCAAAACAAATTAACAAAAACACTTCCAAAGCACTAGGAGAGAAAGAAAATTTAAAAAGTAATCCTCAAGGTAGCCTACAGTGTGGCTACACTGTGGAATATTTCTTTACACTGCATGAATATGTCACTGTGACTGGTTTAATAAAAAAAGTTAAACGGCCATTAGGTAGGCAAGATTTTGAGGGCAGAGAGAATGCTGGGAAAAAGGGTGGAGTTTGGGAGTCACCAGCTAGATAGGAAAGAAGCAACATGAAAAGTACATTGATGAGGTAAGCAAGCTTCAGGGCAGCACATAGATTAATAGAAATGGGTTAATTTCAGGTATAAGCGCTAGCTAAAAGCAAGCCTATCAGCTGAGGATTTATAATTAATACTAAGTCTCTGTGTGGTTATTTGGGAGTAGCTGGTGGGACAGGGTGGTCTGTTGAAAAACTCTGCCTGCAAATGGTGCCCAAGGTGGGGCAAGGCCACTCTTATCCACATAAAAACTAAATAAAAGCTTAAGAAAGCCTTCCAAACACACAAAAACAGAGCCAAACTCACTTTTCTAGTCCCACAGTCCTCACCCAAGCTATAGTACAAAGCGGTTTCTCTCAGCCACTGCCTGCCGGCTTGAGCCCCCAGAGTGAGTGAACTAAGCTGCAAGGGTTTAAGTTTTGCTCATACAGACAAAAAAGATCACTGACACACAGTAAAGGCAGATCCAGACCAAAAAAAAAAAACCCTATAAACTGATTACAGTGTGTTTAAAAATATACATAGTGTGGGAGGTCAGCTTCCACTTTTTCTCAGGGTACTCTAGAGGAGAGAGAGAGATTAAGAAATACTAGATAGAAGGAGATTGTGGAGAAGAGACAGACAGAAACACAGGATAGCTTTGGGAGGGCCTGGATCAATATCCACCCACTCCTTCTGTCTCTTCACAAGGACTTTTTATAGGAATGCCAAGGGATGGTGTAAAAGATCTCCCCCTAGCACAGCCAAGTGCAGACCCTTCCACCCACCTGGTAACCATGCACAGTCAAGCCATCCCTTAATGCAGCCCTGCTGGGTAAAGCAAGCTCAGATCTCACTAGGAAACTTCTGTGGGCTCCCGTAACATAGGCTTGGGAGAGAAAAGAGAAAGACTATTAGACATTCATACGAAAAAAAGTTTAAAGACAATGAAGTCCTTAAAAAAGAAATAAATTTAAAAAAAAACATGTAAAGATGAAAAGTACACAGGAGTCTGGATCCTATGTGTTACTGTGTTGTCCTTAATTTTTTGATTGCTGATGAAGGAGCAATAGCTGCTAAGAGACATTGAATTATGAAAACTGCTAGATCAAACCAACCTATATATTTCAAAAATATCTTGACTTCAAAATGGAAGTCAAAAGGTATGTTGCTTTGGGAGAGAGGTTACACTTTCATTTCCACAGGAAATGAGAGGCTGTAGATTAATTCCAGGTTGATATGGCTCAGGTTTGATCAGGAAAGACCCCCTGAAAATCCTGGCTACAGACATAAAGAAATAGACCTTAAAAAAAAACTACAAAACATGTAAGGTATATTTTTCCTGGTAAAACATAAAACAAAAAATCATCTTTGACTAACTTATGTACAACACACAGTCTATACTTGTATTGGTACAGATATGTATGTTACCTTTAAAAGATTATGTATTTTCAGAACTAGGAGACCAGACACCAATTGAAAAAAACCTATGGCCCAAATGATCCAACATCTCAGAGTGCCTCTGTTGCAGTTTCCTGAGAGTTCTGGATCCAGAACAGCTTCAAGACTGCTGGCTTAGGTGGTCTAACCTAACAAAATACTCCAATCAGGACTTGACTATAATCCTGAACTTTCTTCAATAATGCCAGTGCCCCCAGACAATAGGAAGCAGTCTAGAAAAAACAACTGCCCACATTTCCAAAAGATGGGTTATGGATGTTTGTTATCATTTAAGGGGGGTTGGTTACAAGTTGTTATTGGTCATAGTAAGGAAAAAAGCTAAACAAAAGAGTTAAATTCAAAGATATCCTTCGAAAGGAAAAAATGGGGATATGATATAGGAATGATAGGAAAAACAGGTAGATTACTGAATCTACTTTAATCCAGAAAACAACTATTACTCTCAAAATATTTTACATTGGTATGGATTTTGGTGTATTGATACAAATTTAAAGTTATATTTGCTATACTATATGTGTGTTTCTACTCTTGTTTGGGGTATTGTGTTTATGCAACTCATTTAAAAATATAATATAATTTAAAAATACAGGTTAATCATTATCTATAATACTCAAACTTATAGTCATGTTAGGTATGTTTTCAGGGTTAGACAAACAGATTTAGGTAGATGGTGGTCTTTAAACACTTCAAAGATCTACAGAACATGGCATTTAAGGTGGTTAATAACCTAAGGCTTTTCATGTCACGTCTGCTTCTGACAGCACCCATTTACTTCAAAAGAAGATGATGGGCATCGAAGAACTTCCTTATAGAGTTTGCTTTCTTTATGGCAAAATCCAGCCCTTTGGGCAAAGAAACTGCCCTTATCTCAATTGCTGATGGTATACTGTCAAAACTGGTCCAGAAGGATGCAAAAAAGTGACTGCCAAATTTTGCCAAGACAAGGTAGGACAATCCTTCAAAATTCCCTGCTTCTCAGAAAGGTCTGTGAAATATACTAGGCCTGTAGGCCAAAGATGGATGCCCCAACATTACAGAAGAACTTTGGGTGACTGTCCAGGCAGCCAGATGTCGCTGTCATTAAGTAACGTTATACCCTTCTAGGGTCTTTGATGGAATTAAAGACTAAATAATTAAACTTAAAGTTTTCCTTAGTTATGATAAAAAGTAAATTAGGTATAAAACTTTGAACTCACAAAGATAAGATAAATAATGGAGAGTTTTCTCCAAACATGCCAAATACAAATGGACTGGACATTATAAATGTAATTCTTACCTACAATTGTTCTTATTGTCTATAGTTTAATTATGTTAGAGTTAAAACCTTTCTTTTTTTATTTACACAAAAAGGTAGAAATGTGGAATATTCCTTTACACTGTGTGAATATATGTCACTGTGACTGGTTTAATAAAAAAGCTGAACATCCAGCAGCTAGGCAGGATTTTCAGGGCAGAGAGGATGCTGGAAAGAAGAAGGGTGGTGTCTGGGGGTCACCAGCCAAATGTGAAAGGAGGAACATGGAAAGTGCATAGATAAGGTAAATGAGCCTTGGGGCAGCACATAGATTAGTAGAAATGGGTTAATTTAAGTTATGAGAGCTGGCTCAAAACAAGCCTCAGCTATCGACTGATAGCTTTATAATTAATAATAAATCACAGTGTGGTTATTTCAAAGTGGGTAGGACAGAGCTGACCAGTGGTCCCTAGGAAAAACTCTGCCTACAGAACACTTTTAGACATGTTTGTCTAACTTAAGATTTAGTGGGCATAAAGAACATGATAGAAGGGGTAGGGACTAGATAGGACCTGAGGGACAATTCTCAGGGAGGGCTAGCGAGGTGGCCTCTGCCTTCAGGGTAGGGGGACGAGGAGGCTTGTGGTTTAGCTGTGTCCTTGACTGGGATGGGATTATGCCGGGGTAGCTATACAGTGCTGGGAATTCCTCTGGACACCTTCAAGAGTAGGAAGCAACACATTGAGAGTGGGGCTGGCACAGCCCAGCCCTCAGTTTCCCATGTCCTCCCCTGCACTGTGTAGACCCACACTGGCTCCTGGCAGAGTTGCATCGGAACAATGAAATTTATTTATGGGCTGCAGTCAGAAGCTGTTGGGAGAAGAATCTGTTGGGAGACCCAACCATGGCCCATTCTCCTGCCCTCTGGGGGACACATAGGGGAGACACCAAAGACCAGGCTCAGTCTCTTCGGTCACTCAGAAGATACTGCCTTCCTGTAGCTGAAGCTTAGAAGGGAAATCTTAGTACACTAAAAGGTAAAAGGGTTGGGAAACCCACCTCAAACTTTGACACGAGAATACAGCAGCCCCAGTGTCCCTCTAAGATGGTCACTGAGTTTAGCAAATAAAATTACAAGAAGGCCAGGCCAATTTGGTATTCAGATAAGTGACTTTTTCAAAATTATAAATATAGCCATGTAATGCTTAGGATATACTTAAGCTATAAATGAACTGTTTTCATGGATCCTAGGAGTCCTGGGCATCTTGTGTTTTATCTGGAAGCCCTCCCAGGGGAGAGGTCACAGAGTCAGCCCATTAGGAAGAGCTGCCAGGATCCAGCTCTGCTTACCAGATGAGGGTGCTGGTATGGGCCTCTCCATATTTGCCAAAGTTCTCCGTGGTTGATGGTGTGGATGTCAGAACTGGGACCATAGTGGTTGATGGTGTGGTTGTCAGAACTGGGGCCATGGTGGTTGATGGTGTGGTTGTCAGAACTGGGGCCATGGT